AGAGTGCGTCCGCTTGAGCATTTTGACCCCTTGGGATCAGCTCTACTTCGAAAGATCTCAGCTTCGCAATTGTCGATTTGATCCTTGTGAGGTAAGCTGCCATTGAAGGCTCTTTAGCCTCATACTCCCCCCGGATCTGATTGGCGACCAGCTGAGAATCTGTCTTGAGGTAGACATGCTCGGCTTCCAACGATATGCACAGGTCTAAGCCAGCAATGGCTGCTTCATATTCGGCCTCGTTGTTAGAGGCTTTGAATGAAAATTTTAGTGCATACTCGAAGGTTTTGCCTTCGGGAGAGGTAATGACGACCCCTGCCCCCGAACCGTTCACGGTGGAGGACCCATCCGTGAAGACGGTCCAGATTTTCCTCCTTGCATCCAGAGTCTCCTGATAGGAGCACTCGGCCAAGAAGTCTGCCAAGGCTTGCGCCTTGATGGTTGTTCTCGGCTGATAACCGATACTGAACTCGGTGAGCTCGAAAGCCCACTTTGCTAGTCTACCGGATTTTTCAACCTTGCCGAGGACTTTCTCTAACGGCTGATCAGTTAGAACCGCTATTTGATGAGAATCAAAATAGGGTTGCAACTTCCGAGCAGCCACCACCACTGCATAAGCCACTTTTTCTAACAATGGGTAGCGCGTCTCGGCATCCGTCAGGGTGTGGCTGACGAAATAGATCGGCTGTTGAACTTTTTCTTCTTCCCTTAGCAGCACCGCGCTTACCGTGGCTGGACTGACCGCCACGTATAAGTATAGGATGTCTCCTACGACTGGCCTTGCCAGTGTTGGGAGTTGAGCCAGGTGTTCACGGAGCTGCTGAAAGGCTGACTTTTGTTCGTCTCCCCATTCAATGCCTTTTGAATTTTGGAGCTTCAGCGCCTTGAAGAAAGGGAGCCCTTTGTCTGAGGCTCGTGAGATGAACCTGGACAAGGCAGCCATTCTCCCGGCTAGACGCTGAATATCCCTTTTTGTCTTCGGCTCGGGGAGGTCTAAAGCAGCTTGTACTTTGGCGGGGTTTGCATCAATCCCCCTCTTGCTGACCATGAAGCCGAGGAACTTGCCTGACTTCACGCCGAAGACACATTTCTTCGGATTCAGCTTCATTTTGTATTTTCTGAGGGTGGCGAAGGTTTCGGCTAGGTCCGTGACATGATCTTTTTCTTTTATGCTTTTGACGATTGAGTCGTCAACATAAACCTCCATGTTTCGGCCTTTTTGCTCGGCGAAAACCTGATCAACCAACCTCTGATATGTTGCCCCCGCATTTTTCAATCCGAAGGGCATCATTCTGTAATTGTACAACCCGGAACTTGTTATGAACGCTGTTTTAGCTCGGTCCTCGGGGTGCATGAAGATCTGATGGTATCCCGAGAATGCGTCCATGAAACTGAGCAGAGCATGCCCGCTTGTCGAGTCGACCAGTTGGTCGATCCTCGGCAGCGGATAGGAGTCCTTGGGACATGCCCTATTCAGGTCCGTGAAGTCAACGCACATCCTCCAGTTACCATTTGCCTTCTGAACCATTACAACATTGGCCAGCCACTCCGGATACTGACAGGGTTCAATGAACCCAGCATCTAGGAGCTTATCGACCTCAGCTGCGATGTTCTGGTTCTTTTCGGCGGAGTAGTTCCGCTTTTTCTGCTTAATGGGTCGACTGGAGGGGTCGACATTAAGCCTATGGGAGACGAAGTCCGGATCAATCCCGGGCATTTCTGCGGCTGAGAAGGCGAACACGTCTCCACTGGCCCGTAGGAGTTGGACGAGTGCCGCACGGGTGTTTGGCTCCAGTGACGACCCGATGCTAACACATCTGTTCGGATCTCCTACGGTCAGTTCTATTGACTCGGTCAGGTCATCCGTCTCCATGCTCTTAGAGTTGGATTCCTCGAATTCCGGCCTGCTATCAATATTAGCAGACTTTCCTGACCGCGGCTGGCCATCAGAGTCGTTCGGCTCTGAGGCGGAGTCAGCCTTTTGGCCCCCATCAGATTTCTCGTTGTCTGGGGCTTCATTAGCCGAAACGTCTGAGCCTCTCGGCTTTTTGGCGTTTCGGTCCCGGTGCTTTTCCTCCCCATCGCCACGGTCGCCTCGGCGAGACGTGGATGGCTTGAGGTGATTGCATCGGCGGGCTTCTTTTTGACTGCCCTTTATTTTCTCGGAGCGTCCCTCGTCTGAAACGTATATCATGATTTGATGATACGTGGAGACGACTCCTTGAATGCCGTGAATGAGGGGTCTCCCCATGATCACGTTGTATGCAGATGGAGCATCTACGACCAAAAATTCGGCCATGATATTCCTAGCTGCTCGGCCTTCGCCGATGGTGACAGGAAGTGTAATCTTCCCGTCAGGATACGAGGAAGAGCCGTTGAACCCAGACACCGGGTAGGGTGCGGGGGCCAGGTGCTCGGCTCCCATCCTCAGCTGGTCGAACGCTCCTCGGAAGAGGATGTTCGCCCCGCTACCGCCGTCGACGAGGGTCCGCCAGACGTTGCGGTTGGCGATGCCCAGAATGATTACTAGTGGGTCATCGTGGGGGTATACCACCCCCTCACAGTCTTCGGCTGTGAACAGGATGTTCGGCGCCGGTGACTGGGACTGCCGAAGCTCAGCCTGATGAATCTGATGGGTTAGACCCCTCAGTTGGCGTTTGGCTGTGCCTCGCGAGATTCCCCCGGAAATAACCAGGATGTCGAGGGACTCCTTGCCCTGAGGTCCCTTATCCTTCTTCCGAGCGAAGTTGAGGTCCTGCCGAGAATCTTTTTCAGCTTTTTTCTCCTCGCGCCTGTCCGCGAGGTATCGGCTCAGGTACCCCTTGCGGACCAGATCCTCAATCTGGTCCTTCAGCTGGACGCAGTCCTCGGTGCGATGTCCGGGTGAGTCATGGAACTCGCACCACTGGTCCTTTCCCCTCGTCTGATGCCAGGGAGGCAACGGACGAGGTTTTTTGAATCTCCCCTCGTCCTTCGTCGTGCTGAAAATCTTAGCACGGGGAAGGGAGAGTGGAGTGTATGAATCGTACCTTCCCGTGTAGGGAAAGTGTCTTTCCTTCTTCGGCTCGGCAGCAGAGGACGGTTCTGAGGCCTTAGCCTTCCCTTTCCTCTGCGCCGAGACTTCGGGCTGCTGCCCTTTCGGCTTCTCAATTCTCGGACGAGACTGAGACCTGGATCTGTTCCACTCCTCGGCTCGGATGAACCTATCCGATGCTTCCAAGGCTTCCTCCAGGGTCTGCGGGGGATGCATGACCATGAAGTCCAGGAACTTTCCAGCTTGGAGGCCGTTCCGTAGCGCGAACACGGCCAGGCCTTGATCCAGGCTTGTGATTCCGGATGACTCGTTGCTGAAGTGAGTCAGATAGTCGCGGAGGCTCTCGTCCTCCGCCTGCTGCAGACTCATTAGCTCTGCAGTGGTCTTCTCTCGGCGGTTGGCCGTAGAGAATTTGCTCTTGAACTTGTTGGAGAGGTCGTTCCAACCGGTTATGGAGCCTTCCTTGAGCCCTTTGGTGATCCAGGATTGGGCAACACCTTTGAGGGTCGTAGGAAAGTATTTACACCAGGTAGCCTCAGACCTCGGGTTCAGATACATGTGCCCCTCGTAAGAGGCAATGTGATCCTTAGGATCTGAGGTACCATCGTAAGTAATATGTGCCGGGATTTTGACCGTTGGCGCATGCTCTTCCAGAATCCACTTCTGGAAGGGCGAGTTCGATGGAACCATGACCGCCTTCCCCTTGTACCCCGCCTCAGGGACCTCGCTCCCTCCTCTCTCAGAGGTGGAAGTGGTTTTCGTCCCCGGCTGAGACAAGGTTGGGTGGGGTCCGGTATCCTCTGGGAAGGTGAGGCGGCTATGCACACTCACCTCCCTCGAACCCAAGCGTTCGTGAACGCTTCGGCGGGCGAATTCCGGGTCCTTGGAGGGCCCCATGGAATTCTGAGCTTCAGAGTGGTCAGAGGGTTGAGGGTTCCTCCTCCTCTCCTTACTGGAGTTTCGGGTGTCCCCTCGCCACCTCTGGCCGAGCTGTCTATGTGGTGGAACTTGTCCACCATCATCCTGACCGATCCTCCTTTTCAGGTTTCTCGGCTGGTGATCATCAGGCATCTGGATTGGAGCCCCTTGAGCTTTAAGGAACTCCATGCAGATGGCCACTGCTCTGGCCACTTCCTCGGTGGAGGGTCCGGAGGGAGGAGTCTCCCGCGGATGTGACCTGGATTGCACGCTATGGCGCGGCGGGGAGTTCCTCACACCTGAGCCACTCGGTCTCGGGGATGGCCCCGGCTGCCGAGTGTGGTGCGAGGTGTTCTCCTCCTGGAGGCTAGGACCTCTTGAGGCTTCCCTTTCCGGAGAAAATGGGGGCCTCCGATTCGGAAGAGGCTTGCTCCGGGGAGGGATAAACCGGCTGGCGTTCCCTCACCGTAATCTGGCCTCCTCCCTTCTTAGCCTTCTTGGAACTCTTTCCACTCTTAGTCATGGCGACTGCCGGAGTGTTTGATGACTGACGCGAAATTTAGTAGCGATCCCACAGACGGCGCCAAATTGTTTCGGATGAAAACAATCGAATCTCGGAAGATCCTTTTATCTTGAGGGAACTTGGTCTCGGTCCGAACGACGCAGGAGCCGAGGGTTTCCTGCACAACAAATACACGTAAACTAGCCTCGGGGGGGACGCCGAGGAAGGCCCTCCGATGCTTAAGTCAGTATATTAGAGAGAGAAAGCTGTGCAAGAGTTTAGTTGCTTGAGGCTTTATTGTCTTACCAAGAATTGACCAAATTGTTGGCTTTTATACCTTGGCTAATGAAGGAGGCGGATTGGGCCCGGAAGTCAGTTGGGCTGGGCCAAGCTGATTGGGCCGTTGACTGACCTTGACATGGCTTTGAGGATGTTGATTTTTGACTTTAGCACATTTGGAGGGTTGAACCTTAACCTTGGGCTTTTAATTGGATCATTCAGTGACCAGGCCCAATTGGACTAAATTGGACCCAAACAACACTTATATAGTTATATACGGAGTACTTCTTATACAACAACAATCCTTTGAAATACATGCTTAAAAACCAAAACGTATTATCCATTAAGCTTCACAGAATACTCAAGATATTACAGACTGTAATTCAAACTTAAACCAACACCCTTTTAATGCAATGTACCTTAGAGCTTAAGGCCAACAGAGAAGATTATCATCATCAATTCATCATCTGTTTCAGTAAATAACTAAGTATGACACGGTCGTTCGGAAGAGTCTTGAGTATACTCCCAATCTTTTGCTTAAGCCTCTAGTTTACACATTAGTCCACGACTCTGGAAATTGCACCTTATCCCATGTTGTAGTTCGTTCAATCCCAGTAGTAGACATGGGTTGAAAATAAGTTGTTTCTCTCCTAATCGACCCCCTTACATCTAAGGTTATATCTGTTGATGCCTTGCACACTACCCTGTATGTTAATGCCAAAGTTACTCCACTTTTCATAACATTTAAGGTCAGGATCTCGCGATCTTTCCAAGGAATTGTATAATCGGGGCAGCAGTTAAAATAGAAGGGACCTTGAGATAGATCTGATTGCACAACTGATAACAAAGATTGCTCAAATTCAACAATCCTAGCATCTGTAAGACACACTATAATTGAATCTCCTAACCCGTCACTCATCAGTGGCTTGATAGCTATTTGGACCAGACCGAAATGCACATACCCAGTGTTAAGAAACTTCTTAAAACCTTTTAGTAATTTAAGTGATACATTTCTGGTCATTTGCTTTCAGTGTGATTGTTTTTTTCAAAATCTTTTACTACAGAGCTTGGAAAAATACTCAATTTCTTTTTAGCTTTTGACCAAAAAGAGGGACCATCACCATACACAGATACAATTTTATCATGACTACGATTGTACACTTCATTGATGGGTATCTTAGGGTATTTCCAATCATCTAAGTTCATTTGGATTGGTGAGTTGTCTCCTCCTTCATTAACAAGCTTAATAGCCATTGATCTGCCCTGAAATTTAAGGACATAACAGGATACTGAGTATAATGTACTATGTCCGTAGTACATAGATTATAGATTTAAGAACTTTTTTTTTCTAAAAGAAATTCATTAGCATAACACAATATTAATTCACCTAAACATAAATATGACATTTATTAGCATCCCTATTTGGCCTAGCTGAATCAAACTTTGGTTACCTGTTGAAGGTCAGGGCCCTCTGAAAGGGTCTCGAGTGAAATCCCGTCTTGTGCTTTAGACTCCTGTTTACCAGTCAAAGAAGATTCTTGGAGTTTTGATTCATACTCTTGCCATTTTGTTGTGCCACTTGTTCCAGTAGCCGGTTGAAAATAAGCTGTCTCACCCAAAGTTGGCTCCTTCAGTGCCTCTGGGCTTAAGTCCAACATCACTTTACATACTACCAGTAAGTCAATGCCAAAGGTGTCCTACTCTTCAAAATCATGATTTCAAATGAAGAAACATCAGCCAAAGAACACGAAAAACTCGGGAAACAGTTAAAATAGAATGGACCCTCAGATAGATCAGATTCTACAAGTGCTAACAAAGAGTTCTGGAAGTCAAGGTGCCTAGTATCTCTAAGGCACACTGCTACTGGAGTTCCCAAGCCATCTCTTATTAGTGGCTTCACAGCTATTTTGGACCAAACCCAAGTGCATAAACCTATGATGCTTCTTGATGAAGCTCTTTTGGAAGTTGCTAGAAAGTAATTCAAAGGATACATTCGGGTACAATCACCGTTCAGTGTGATGGTCTCTTCAAAATCTTTGACAGCATAGCTCGGAAAAATCCCTAAATAAATTATCCTTATACACTTCACCAATAGGGATCGTCGGAAATTTTCCAATCGTTGAGTTTCTTTTTGAATCGGAAGCTACCTCCCTCTGCTTTAGTTAGCTTATTAGCCATTGATGTTCCTCTGAAAAATTTATAGCAGAATATATTTTATTTTACTGATACATACGTAAAATGCTTTGAAATACATTAAAGAAGAAAAAAACAGCAATAAATAAATGGAAGTACCTTACATATTGTTTTGCCAAAATTTCAGAGAAATTATAGAAAGGTGCAATATCGTGGAAGATTTTTTTTTTTAACTTTATAATACATGATGCTCTTATTCTTTGTCACCAACTACCTTATATATTTTAATGTAAAGATAATCCAAATTATTGTCCTTTAATTATTTAATTGATTTTATATTTAGAAATTTAAAAAGGTCTTAATCTAAATCTTTCTTTTTAGTAAGTGAGTTTTGTAAAAGAGGTAAGATTTTTCTTCATTCTTCATTTCTTCAATTATTCAGTGCGTTACTCAACTGATGCTTGCCAGAGAACTGAAAACGTCACTCTGCTAGAAGCAACCGAGATGAATAAAAATCAGTTGTCCTGCTTTTTTGTGCGCATCCTTACCATTTACATTTACTACCTTTTTTTTTGTTGTTGTTGTTGTAACTCTTGCTTAATGCATAACTAAAATCATTTACTCTTCCATAATTCCCGTTTTCTTTCGGAGAATCAAAATATTGTTTTTATTTTCTATTTTTGGATAGTATGTAAAGATTAATATACCCTCACTTTTTTAACTTTATTTATTATACTTCCTAATTTACCCCTGGATTTTGCACATGTTTTGTACTTTTTTTTCTTACTCTCTCTAACTTTTGTCTATGATTGTATTTTTTACTTTTATTAAGGAAAATTTGTCAATTACTATCGCAAGTTAATACTATTTTGTAAATTACTACCACAAATTAAAAAAGTTGTGAATTACTATCGCAAAATTTTTTAAGATGTTGCGATTACTACCAAACTCCATTAAACCCAACTATGATGTCATTATATCACTTTAAGAACATCCAATGAAGAAGCATCGGCCAAAAATACCGAAAAGCTAGGGAAGCAATTAAAATAGATTAGACCCTGAGACAGATTTGCTTCCACAAGGGCTAACAAAGAGTTGTGGAAGTTAGAGTGTCTCGTGTCTCTTAGAGACACGATTATTTCGGGTGAAAACAATGGGACCTTGTCGAAGGTCCGATGAAGTGGAGAAGACTGGATTCGGTCCAAGTGATGTTGGGCCGAAGGTTTCCTGCACAGTAAACACACGTAAACTAGCCTCGGGGGTGTTGCCGAGGAAGGCCCCTCCGATGCTAAAGTCAGTACAGTGTGTAGAAGAGAGAACACTATGCAAGAGAATTAATTGCTTGAGGCTTTGCTTGAATCAATGTACAAATGTAATATTGATGGCTTTTATACCTTTGCATATATGGAGAAGTTGGGCCTTAGCCCAATTGGCTTGCCTTGAGGACTGATCTTTGACTTTAGCACAATTGGAGAGATGAACCTTGACCTTGGGCTTTTAATTGGATCATTTAATGTCTAGGCTCAATTGGACTAAATTGGACCCAAACAACTTGCCCCCCAGACCCGATTTGGAAGGATGACGGGTCGGGTTTGATTTAATCAGAAAAGGAGGGAAGTGAATGATTTAATTAATCCAAAAATTTGAATTTAAACCGTAATTAAACCGTAATTAATGAGATAACGACAGTTAAGGCGGATAATTGTGGAAGTTGGACGGATAATGGGCAGTTTAATCGCAAGGTCGTGTGTTTAACGGTTACTTAGTGGGGTATTTAAGAGAAATTGAAACGCGGACTCCCCGTATTCCCATTTCTGGAGATATAATTAGAGGCGCGTCATCTCTCCTCACTTATTCACCAACACAAACCCAGAATTCTCGAGAGAACCCAAGAACCCGCATCAAAACTTCGCAAATTCCCCGAGCATTAAGCTTAAAAACTGAGACTCGCCACTACCAATTCGTAAATCGGCAACTTTCGCTTCAGATTAAGGTAAATTCCTTTGATTTTAGTTTATTTTTCTTCGAATTTGAACTCCTTCCCCTTTTTTTCGACTTTTTTCTTCGAAATTATCAATGGCGAGAGGAGTTAGGGGTAGAGCCCGTGCTCCAAGAAGAGTAAGGCCAATTCCCGATCCCAAGAACAGGATTGGGACCTGGAATGGACAAAGAGCAGAGTCTGACCCTGCTGAAGGGATTAGGGCGACTCTAATTTCTTCGGCTCCTCCTCAGAGAACGGAGGGGCCGAGCGCTTCTGGGCGGGACGATGAAGTTCCCGCTGTCCTTTGGGATATCCTTCCCGGGTTTTCAGAGTGGGAGGATGCCGAAGTAGCTTCGGCCATGATAAAGAACCGCCCCTACTCATGGTGGGTGGAGAATGCCGAACAGTATCGGTTTGCCGAACAAATTGAGTTGCATTACGGCATCCTTGAAGCTGATGGGTATTGGTGCCGAATGCCCGTGGCATCCGATAGAATCCATCGTCCACCCCCGGGGTATGTGGGGGTGTACACAAGACAACTTCAGTATGGGCTGAGGTTCCCTTTGGACGTATTCGTCCAAGACTTGCTGATCCATTACAATATTTCCCTATTTCAGCTAACTCCTATTAGCATCCGAAGGGTGATGACATACTTATGGGTCTGCAAGTTCTTCAGGTATGTGCCGAACCTGCACTGCTTCAAAAAGCTTCATCGGCTAGTGCCAAATATTCAAAGTGGGCACGGAAGTCATGGTTCTGGGTGGTACCGGATTGAGCCTCGGCCCCAGTACCTAACCATGTGGCCGAACGACTCTTCAGACAAGGACTGGAGAGGTCAATGGATTTGGGTTAGGGCACCCACGGACCCGGGCCACCCTTGCGTCTTCAGCGCTCCCCGGTACCTTGCTGAGCCTGATCCCGACATGGGAAGTTTAGGTCCCCCCGCAGATAACGGCCCAGATCCGAACCTTAATCAACAGAATATCTTCCGCAAGCTGCCGAACCGGGGGGGCAGCGGCCGAATGCAGCATATCCCGGAGACTTGGCTCCCCGATACGCATTATGTTTCCAAGAGAACATGCTAGCAGCTGTCGGCCTCAGCCGAAAGTTTAAGGATGGTAAGCTTCTTCGGCTGGGGCCGAGGCCTTTTAATTATCTCTATTTCTCCTCTTTCACTTCGCTTTTTTATGTTGTGCCAACCTAACTGAACTGACCTTTCCCCTTTTCTTTTTCAGAGCGGGACGAGACCAACGTCGGCATTAACTACGCTCGTCTTGGCGTCAACCGAGAACGAGTTGTAACTGATCGGGCCCCCTCTATCACTGAACCGAGGCATAGAGAAGTTCATCTAGACTCTTCCCACTTCCAAATTGAGGCTGTTGCTCTGTATCAGAGGCAGAAGCCTTGGTAGAAGAAGAGAGATCCCTGGTTTCAGCTGCTGGACGAAGAAGCTGAAGCTGCCCGTACGGCCGAAGAGGTTGCACGGGTTATTGAAGCTTGTGAAGGAGGAGAAGGGTCCTCCAGGGCTGCTGAAGAAGAAGCTGCAGCTAGGGCAGCTGAAGAAGACGAGGCTTTGCTGAAGACCTCGGTGAGCTTTCAGACTTAATTTTGTCTGTTTCTGTTTGTTGTTTTGTTTTTTTACTCACATTCTTCCTCCCCCCCTGTCTTTTACAGTCTGAAGAGAGTAATAGACACAGAGAAGGGAAAGCCCCTGTTCGTCCCGAAGACCAGATACAAGAAGAGTCCTCAGACTCAGACATGGACGAGCAGCCGCTTCAGAAAAGGCGCCGAAGAATGGCCATCATCGGCCCCCATGACTTTCAGCGGAGGCCGATGACCATCGGCGTCGAAATAAGGGAACCCGAGGAAGGCAATGGTTCGCCGAGGGTTCCCTGGACACCACCTCAATCACCTCCAAAGACCCCTCCGCCACCTCCGAGATGGAGGTGGATCAAAACTCCCGAACCTAAGGGAGGGGTCCAAGAAGAAGTTCAAGAGAGTGCTGCTGAGCACAAGAATGAGGATGCTGTGATGCCCAGTGTTGAGGGTTTCACGGTAGACATTGCAAAAGAGGTTGAGGCCTTCGTCCTCACCCCTGAAGAAGAAGAAGTCATAATAATTGACTATTCTGAAGAAGGAGGATGCTGAGCCATCCAAAGTTAAAGAAGCTTCATCATCATCCTTTCCTTCCTTCCAGACTCTGCAATCTGGAGAAATGGGTTTCTCGGCCCCCCGAATTCCAATCCCAGATCACATCTGGGACCTCATATGGGGTCAGAACAGAGAAGGTGCTGCAGCCTACTTCGGCGATTTTGCTGGCATGTCCGAAGTAGATAGGGCAAGAATTTGGTCGCTGAAGGCCATTGCTGGGATGGGCGAATCCAGCAGATCAGTTCCTGATTCAGCCAGGTCTAACCAACTGCTGATGATGCAGGTGATTTTCCTTGCCTTTATCTCCTTTAAAATTCAGCTCTTCAATTATCATTATTATTATTTTTTATTTTAACTTGTGCTCCTGTTTTCAGTTCGTGCACAATCAGACTCTCACTGTAGAGCTGATAGATACCCTACAAGATAGGGTGGACGTTGCCGAGCACGAAAAAAAGGTAGCCGAAGAGGAGTTAAAGCTTGCTAAGCTGAAGCAAGCAGCGGCTGAAGAGAAGCAGCAGAAGGGTGAAGAATATGAGAAAAAAGTTGTTGAAGCCCTCAAAACCTTCTGCGATGCTATGGAGAAGGAAGTTTTTCCCCCACTGATGGAAGGGGAAAATTCCTCCAAGAGCACATGGGAGTGGACATCTCCAAATTCAAGGCTACCATTGAGAGCCGAATCCAGGAAGGAGCTGCCGCACAAGCTGAAGTGCAGCAACAGCTAGAAGCTCTTGAAGCCAGCAGAATGGCTGCTGAAGAGATGCTCCAAGCCAGGGATGTCCAACTCTCAGAGGCTGCTGCTGCTGCTGAAGCTCAGAGAGCTAAGCTCCAAGAAGCTGAGGATCAGCTGATGGCCAAAAAGGATGAAGTGGCCCAGGCTCAGACAGAGGCTTCCCAAGTTCAGCAGGAGCTGAATGAGCTGGAAGGTTCTTCCTCCAAGCTCGCCGATGAGCTGAAGAAATTGTCCATGGACTCATGCCTTTGGAGAACAAATCTTACTAAAGTTTGACTTCAGCTGAAAGACCAGTGTTCTTTAAAAAGACGAGTTTTGTCAGCAATCTGAAACCCGGTTACCCGAAGGCGAAGGTTTCAGACGAGGCTGAATAAAAAACCCTTAAAG